GCAGCCTCCAGTTCCATCTCCAGGCCTCTGACAAAATCAGATGAAACTTTTTCTTTATTCCCCTCTGTACTCTTTTATTTTCTCCTATATTATCTTCTCCTCCTTATCTACCACCTTGCCAGAGGGACTAGGCAGGTCTAGATTCAGAGATCTAAAATTCCCTAGCAATATAAAGTTCTCTGGGATCCTCCAATGTACTGAACCACCTGTGAAAAAGGAGATACTGCTCTTCAGACACCTGAATCCAGTGTCTTTTTTGAGACCACATTAATAAAAGCAATAGAAGAGAGACTTCGGCAAACATCAATTCGCAGCAAAAGGGAAATACACTCCAGTCAAAGAAATATTCTCTTAAGAGGTATGAAGCAACATTTTCTGACTTGACTAAAGTATTGCTGCTTTCCTTCTAAGCTTTGTTGTCCGGTTTTAAGAATTTTGTCCTGTCTTGAACTGTTGATAGATTCATATACTTACTATTTGAACAGAATACTAATCTGATTCTAGGCTTTAAGTTTCAAGGAAATATCCTTACCAGTTCAAAACTGCTTTTGTTGAAACCACCACCTGAACTTGCTATTGAAAGTAGTTAGATTACCTATGATATTGTGTGATCAACAAAATGTTGGGAGAAAAGGAATTGAAGACAACTGTATACAGCAGAAGGACTCCCATACAGATGCCCCAGTCCAGGATCCACCCAGACCCTTAGACAGGTAAAAATTTCCTCCATTTTTTTTTTCTTCTTTACTGCCCCCATTCTTTTGTAAATTTCTGCCCCTTCCTCTCTCTACAGACTGCTCCTTTGGCTGCAGTAGCCAGCAGAAGCCTGGTACATCTAAAGGCATTGGGCAAACAAGTGGGCACAAAGCCCCCATGGACTCTCATCCAGACTCCTCAGTCCAGGATCCACCCAGACCCCTAGGCAGGTAGAAAGTTCCTCCATTTTTTTTTCTCTTCTTCACTGTCACCCATTCTTTTGTAAATTCCTTCCTCTCAGTCTCTCCACAGACTGTGCCTTTGGCTACAGCAGCCTGGTACATCTGAAGGCACCTGATGAGCAAGGGAGGACACTGCCCCCACTGATTCCCATCCAGAACCCCCAGTCCAGCATCCACCCAGATCCCTGGGAAGGTAGAAAGTTCTTCATTTTTTTTTATCTTCTTTACTGTCCCCCATTCTTTTGTAAATTCCTTCCTCTCTGTCTCTCCACAGACTGTGCCTATGGCTGCAGCAGCCTGGTACAACTGAAGGTACTTGGAACAAGGGGGCACACTGTCCCCACTGATTCCCATCCAGATCCCCCATTAGAGGATTCAACCAGAATCCTAGGCAGGTAGAAAGTTCCTCCATTTTTTTCCTCTTCTTTACTGTCCCCATTCCTTTGTAAATTCCTTCCTCTCCATATCTCCACAGACTGCGACTATGGCTGCAGCAGCCTGGTACATCAGAAGGCACCTGGTGAACAAGGGAGCACAATGCCCCAACTGATTCCTATCCAGACTTCTCAGTTCAAGATCCACTCAGACCCCTAGGCAGATAGAAAGTTCCCCCATTTTCTTTCTTCTTCTTCACTGTCCCCCATTCTTTTATAAATTTCTGCCCCTTCCTCTTTCCACAGACTCAGCCTTCCGATGCAGTAGCCAACAGCAGGCTGGTACATCTGAAGGCACAGGGCAAGCAAGGGGGCACACTGCCCCCATGGACTCCCATGCAGATTCCCCAATCCAGGATCCACCAAGATCCCTAGGTAGGTAAAAAATTCCTCCATTTTTATTCTTTTTCTTTACCATCCCCCGTTCTATTGTAAATCTCTGCCCCTTCCTCTCTCCACAGACTGTGCCTTTGGCTGCAGTAGCCAGCAGCAGCCTGGTACATCTGAAGGCACCTGGCAAATAAGGGGGCACACTGTCCCCACTGATTCCCATCCAAACCCCCCAGTCCAGAATCCACCCAGACTCCCAGGCAGGTAGAAATTTCCTCCAATATTTTTCTGCTTCTTTATTGTCCACCATTCTTTTGTAAATTTCTGCCCGTCCTCTCTCCACTGACTGCACCTTGGGCTGCAGTAGCCAGCAGCAGCCTGGTACATCTGAAGACACCTGGCCAGCAAGGGGGAACACTTCCCCCAGTGATTCCCATCCAGATCCCTCAGTCCAGGATCCACCCAGTCCCCTAGGCAGGTATAAAGTTCCTCCATTTTTATTTCTCTTCTTTACTGTACCCCATTCTTTTGTAAATTTCTACCCCTTTCTCTCTCCACAGACTGCGCCTTTGGGTGTAGTAGCCAGCATGGGACATCTACAGACACCAGGGGAACAAGGGGGCACACTGCCCCCACTGACTTCTATCCAGATTCCTCAGTCCAGCATCCACCCAGACTCCTATGCAGGTAGAAAGATCTTCCATTTTTTTCTTCTTCTTTATTTTCTTCTTTTGTAAATTTCTGCCCCTTCCTCTCTCCACAGACTGCGCCTTTGGCTACAGTAGCCAGCAGCACCCTGGTACATCTGAAGGCACCTGACGAGCAAGGGGGCACATTGCCCTCACAGACTCCCATCCAGATCCCCCAGTCCTGGATCTACCCAGAGCCCAAGGCAGGTAGTAATTTCCTCCATTTTTATTTCTTTTTCTTCACTGTCCCCCATCCTTTTGTAAATTTCTGCCCGTCCCTTTCACCACAGACTGCACCTTTGGCTGCAGTAGCCAGCAGCAGCATTGTACATCTGAAGGCACCTGACGAGCAAGTGTACACACTCCCACCTCGAACTCCCACCCAGATCTCACAGTCCACGACCCACCCAGATCCCTTGACATGTAAAAAGTTTCTACATTTTTATTTCTTTTTCTTTACTGTCCCGCATCCTTTTGTAAATTTCTGCCCCTTCCTCTCTCCACACACTGCACCTTTAGCTGCAGTAGCCAGCAGCAGCCTGGTACATCTGAAGTCACCTGGAGAGCAAGGGGGCAGACAGCCCCCACGGACTCCCATCCAGGTACCCCAGTCCAGGATCCACTCAGAGCCCTAGGCAGGTAGAAGTTCCTCCATTTTTTTTCCTTCTTTACTGTCGTCCATTCTTTTGTAAATTTCTGCCCCTTTCTCTCTCTACAGACTGCACCTTTGGCTGCAGTAGCCAGCAGCAGCCTGGTACATCTGAAGGCATCTAGTGAGCAAGGGGGCACAATGCCACCTCGGACTCCCATCGAGATCCCCCAACCCAGGATATACCCAGACCTCTATGCAGGTAGAAAGTTCCTGCATGTTTTTTTCCTTTGCTGTTCCGTATTCTTTTTAAAATTTCTATCCCTTCCTCTCTCCAGTGACTGCACCTATGGCTGCAGTGGCCAGGAGCAGCCTGGTACATCTTTAGGCACCTAGTGAGCAAGTGGGCATACTGCTTCCACTAATTCTCATCCAGACCCCCCAGTCCAAGATCCACCCAGATGCCTAAGCAGGTATAAATTCCTCCATTTTTTTTCACTTCTTTACTGTCCCCCATTCTTTTGTAAATTCTTTCCTCTCCCTCTCTACTCAGAGTGTGCCTTTTCCTGCAGCAGCCTGGTACATCTGAAGGGAATTGGTGAGCAAAGGGGCACACTGCATGCACTTATTCCCAATGAGATCCCTCAGGTCAGGATCCACCCAGACCCCTAGGCAGGTAGAAAGTTCCTCCATTTTTTTTTTCTCTTCTTGACTGTCTGTCATTCTTTTGTAAATTCCTTCCTCTCTGTCTCTCCACAGACTGCACTTTTGTCTGCAGTAGCCTGATACATCTGAAGGCACCTAGTGAGCAAAGGGGGACATAACCCCCACTGAGAACCATCCACACTCCCCAGTGCAGGATCCACCCAGACACCTAGGAGGGTAGAAAGTTCCTCTATTTTTTTCTCTTCTTTACTGTCCCCATTCTTTAGTAAATCCCATCCACTGTGTCTCTCCACAGACTGTCTCTTTGGCTACAGCATCCTGGTACAACTGAAGGCAACTGGCTAGGAAGAGAGCACACCGCCCCCACTGATCTCGATCCAGACCCCCCAGTCCAGGTTCCCTCCAGACCCCACAGTAGGTAGAAATTTCCTCCATTTTTTTTCTCTTCATTACTGTCCCCCATTCTTTTGTAAATTTCTACCCCTCTCCCTCTCCACATACTGTGACATTGGCTGCAGTAGCCAGCAGCAGCCTGATACATCTAAAGGCATCTGGCAAGCAAGGGGGCACACTGCCCCCACCGACTCCCATCCAGATCCCCAGTCCAGAATCCACCCAGAGCCCTAGGCAGGTAGAAAGTTCCTCCATTTTTATTTTTTCTTCTTTAATCTCTCCCATTCGTTTGTAAATTTCTGCCCCTTCCTCTCTCCACAGACTGCACCTTTGGCTACAGTAGCCAGCTGCATCCTAGTACATCATTAGGCAGCTGGCGAGCAAGAGGGCACACTGCTGCCACAGATTCCCATACAGACCCCCCAGTCCAGGATCCACCTGACCCCTAAGCAGGTAGAAAGTTCCTACATTTTTCTTTCTCTTCTTTACTGTCCCCCATTCTTTTGTAAATTCCTTCCTCTCAGTCTGTACACAGACTGCTTCTTTGGCTACAGCAGCCTGGTACATCTGAAGACACCTGGCAAGCAAGGGAACACACTCCCTGCACTCATTCCCATCCAGACCACTCAGTCAGAGATCCACCGAGACCCCTAGGCAGTTAGAAAGTTCCTCCATTTTTATTTCTCTTCTTTACTGTCCCCCATTCTTTTGTAAATCCCATCCTCTATGTCTCTCCACAGACTGTGCCTTTGGCTGCAGCAGCTTGGTACATCTGAAGGAACTTGGCAAGCAATAGGGCAAACTGCCCACACTGATTTCCATCCATACCTCCCAGTCCAAGTTCTAACCAGACCCCAAGGCAGGTAGAAAGTTCCCCCATTTTTTTTCTCTTCTTTACTGTCCCCCATTCTTTTGTAAAATTCTTCCTCTCTGTCTCTCCAAAGACTGTGTCTTTGGCTGCAGCACCCTGGTACAACTTGTGGACAGAAGTCTGGCTACTTTTCCTATTTTTCCAAAATCTTTTCAAAAGGGGACTGGGGAAGTCATGCTCACAAACTTTAACAGACCATTTACTTTCTATTTAACAGGATTCTTCTTACCTCCTGTCCCTGCCACAGTATCTTTGAGATGCATATTCCAACTGATTAGTGTATTCTCTTGCTTATCCCTTCCCAAGACACAGAACTTCCCTTTTTCTTGAGATGTAGATTAAGCCTTTCTTTAACTAAGACAGGGATCTTCCCTTCCAATCTCTGACCTAAGAATTTGTGGAACCCACCTATAACCTACAAGCCCCCCCCCCCTTCTACCTGTCCTGCGCCACACCAATGGGAAATCTTTTAATTAAATGTTGTGTGTCAATCTCAAAAGCAAATAAAAGGAACCTCTGTACATGATCACCGTGAGAAAAGGCATGTATGCCTCTTCTCCGGGCCTAGGTCACTCACAGTTGGCTTGGAAATAAACCGCATTAATTATTAATTATTAATTTTACAGTTGGTTATATTTTTCCGTCGACAAACTGAAGGTAACTTGGGGAGTAAGGGAGCACACTGTCCCTACTGATTCCTATCCAAACCCCACTGTGCAGGATCCACACATATCCCTAAGCAGGTAGAAAGTTCCTCCATTTTATTATCCCTTCTTTACTGTCCCCCATTCTTTTGTAAATTCTTTCCTCTCCATCTCTCCACAGACTATGCCTTTGGATGCAGCAGCTTGGTACATCTGAAGGCACCTGGCGAGCAAGGGGGCACACTGCCCCCACTGAATCTCATCCAGACCACCAGTCCAGGATCCACCCAGACTCCTAGGCAGGTAGAAAGTTCCTCCATTTTTTTTCTCTTCTTTACTATCCCACATTCTTTTGTAAATATTGGCACCTTCTTCTCCACACATACTGCGCCTTTGACTGCAGTAGTCAGAAGCAACCTGGTACATCTGAAGGCACCTGGTGAGCAAGGGGGCACCCTGCCCCCACTGAATCTCATACTGACCCCCCAGTCCAGGATCCACCCAGACCCGTAGGCAGGCAGAAAATTCCTCCATTATTTCTCTCTTCTTTATTGTCCCCCATTTTTTGTAAATTCCTTCCTCTCTGTCTCTCCACAGACTGAGCCTTTGGCTGTAGCAGCCAGGCACATCTGATGGCACCTGGCGAGCAAGGGGGCACACTGCCCCCACTGTCTCACATCCAGATCCCTCAGTCCAGAATCCACCCGAGCACTAGGCATGTAGTAAGTTACGCCATTTTTTTCTTTTTCTTTACTGTCCCCCATTCTTTTGTAAATTTGTGCCCCTTCCTGTTTCCACAGACTGCGCCTTTGGCAGCAATAGCCAGCAGCAGCCTGCTATATCAGAAGGCACCTAACGAGCAAGGGGGTACAGACTCCCTGGTACATCTGAAGGCACCTGGCGAGGAAGGGGGCACACTGCCCCCACGGTCTCCCATCCAGATCCCTCAATCTAGGATCCACCCAGACCCCTTGGCAGGTAGAAAATTCTTCCATAGTTTTTCTTCTTCATTTCTGTCCCCCATTTTTTGTAAATTTCTGCCTCTTCCTCTCCCCACAGACTGCACCTTTGGCTGCAGTAGCCAACAGTGGCCTGGTACATCTGAAGGCACCTCACTAGCCAGGGGGTACACAGGTCCAATAACTCCTATCCAGATTCCCCAGTCCTGGATTCATCCAGAGCCATAGGCGGGTAGAATGTTCCTACATATTTTTTTCTTCTTCTTTACTATCTCCCATTATTTTGTAAATTTCTGCCCCTTCCCCTATCCACAGACTGCACCTTTGGCTGCAGTAGCCAGCAGCAGGCTTGTACATCTGAAAGCACCTGGTGAGCAAGGGGCACACTGCCCCCACAAACTCCCATGCACATCCCCCAGTCCAGGATACACCCAGACACCCAGGTAGAAATTTCATCCATTTTTTTAATCTTCTTTACTGTCCCCTAATTTTTTTTCTAAATTCCTTCTTCTCAGTCTCTCCACAGACTGCACCTTTGGCAGTAGCAGCCTGGTACTTCTGAAGGCACCTCACCAGCAAGGGGGCACACAGCCCCCACTGATTCCCATCCAGATCACCCAGTCCAGGATCCAACCATAACCTTAGGCAGATTGAAAGTTCCTCCATTTTTTGTTCTCTTTTTTACTGATCCCATTCTTTTGTAAATTCCTTCCTCTCCATCTTTCAACAGACTGCACCTTTGTCTGCAGCAGCCTGGAACATCTGAAGGCACCTGGGGAGCAAGGGGGCACACTGCCACCACTAATTCTCATCCAGACTCCCAATTCCAGGATCCACCCAGACCACTAGGCAGGTAGAAAATTCCTTCATTTTTTTTCTTCTTCTTTACTGTTCCCCATTCTTTTGTAAATTGCTTCCCCTTCCTCTCTCCACAGACTGCTCCTTTGGCTACAGTAGACAGCAGCAGCCTGATACATCTGAAGTCACCTGGTGAGCAAGGGGGCACACTGCCCCCATGGACTGCCATACAGAACCCCCAGTCAAGGATCTACCCAGACCCATTTGCAGGTAGAAAGTTCGTCCATTTGTTTTCTCTTCTTTACTGTAAATTCCTTCATCTCAGTCTCTCCACAGACTGCACCTTTGGCTACAGCAGTTTGGTACTTCTGAAGGCACATCACGAGCAAGAGGGCACACCTTCCCCACTGATTCCCATCCAGACCTCCCAGTCCAGGATCCTCCCATAACCTTAGGCAGGTAGAAAGATCTCCATTTTTTTCCCTCTTATTTACTGTCCCCCTTCTTTTGTATATTCCTTCCTCTCCATCTCTCCACAGAGGGCGCCTTTGTCTGCAGCAGCCTGGAACATCTGAAGGCACCTGGGGAGCAAGGGGGCACACTGGCCCCACTGATTCCCATCCAAATCTTTCAGTCCAGGATCCACCCAGACCCCTAGACAGGTAGAAATTTCCTCCATTTTTTTTTCTTCTTCATTACTGTCCCCCAATTTTGTAAATTTCCGCCCCTTCCACTCTCTACAGACTCAGCCTTTGGCTGCAGCAGCTGGCAGCGGCCTGGTACCTCTGAAGGCACCTTACTAGCAAGGGGGTACACTGGCCCAAGGACTCCCATCCAGATTTCCCAGTCCCACATCCACCCAGAGCCCTAGGCAGGTAGAATGTTCCTACTTATTTTTTTCTTCTTCTTTACTGTCCCCATTCTTTTGTAAATTTCTGCCCCTTCCTCTATCCACAGACTGTGCCTTTGGCTTCAGTATCCAGCAGCAGCCTGGTACATCTGAATTCACCTGGTGAGCAAGGGGCAGACAGCCCCCACGGACTCCCATGCAGATCCCCCAGTCCAAGATCCACCCAGACCCCTATGCAGGTAGAAAGTTCATCCATATTTTTTCTCTACTTTCCCCCATTTTTTTTTCTTAATTCCTTCTCAGTCTTTCCACAGACTGCGCCTTTGGCAGTAGCAGCCTGGTACTTCTGAAGGCACCTCACCAGCAAGGGGGCACACAGCCCCCACTGATTCCCATCCAGATCACCCAGTCCAGGATCCAACCATAACCTTAGGCAGATTGAAATTTACTCTATTTTTTTTTCTCTTTTTTTACTCTCCCCATTCTTTTGTAAATTCCTTCCTCTCCATCTCTCCATAGACTGTGCCTTTGTCTGCAGCAGCCTGGAACATCTGAAGACACCTGGGGAGCAAGGGGGCACACTGCTGCCACTGATTCTCATGCAGACTCCCAATTTCAGGATCCACCCAGACTGCTAGGCAGGTAGAAATTTCCTCCATTTTTTTCTTCTTTACTGTCCTCCATTTTTGTGTAAATTTCTGCCCCTTCCTCTCTCCACAGACTGTGCATTTGGCAGAAGCAGCCTGGTACATCTGAAAGCACCTGGCAAGCAAAGGGGCATACTGCCTATACTGACATACATCCATAACCCCCATTCTGGATCCACCCAGACCCTTAGGCAGGTTGAAAACTCCTTCATTTTTTTTTCTCGTCTTTACTCTTCCCCATTCTTCTGTAAATTCCTTCCTTTCCATCACTCCAAAGACTGCCTCTTTGTCTGAAGCAGCCTGGTACATCTGAAGGCACCTGGCGAGCACGGGCACACTGCCCCCACTGATTTCCATCCAGGCACTCAGTCCAGGATCCACATCAGACCCCTAGGCAGGTAGAAAGTTCCTCCATATTTTTTTTATCTTTTTTAATGTCCCACATTTTTTTGTAAATTATTTCCTCTCCATCTCTCCACAGACTGTGCCTTTGTTATCACAGCCTGGAACATCAGAAGGCACCTGTGAAGCAAGGGGGCACCCTGTCCCCACATATTCCCATCCAGACCCCAAATTCCTGGATACACCAGAACCCTAGGAAGGTAGAAAGAACTTCCATTTTATTTACTCTTCTTTACTGTCTCCCATTCTTTTGTAAATTCTTTCCTCTCCATCTCTCCACTGACTGCACCTTTGGCTGCAGCAGCCAGGTACATCTGAAGGCTCCTGGAAAGCAAGGGGGCACACTGCCCCCAACTCATTCCCATCCAGACCCCCTAGTCCAGGATCCACCCAGACCCCTATGCAGGTAGAAAGTTCCTCCATTTATTTTTCTCTTATTTACTGTCCCCCATAGTTTTGTAAATTTCTGCCCCACCTTCTCTCTACAGACTGTGCCTTTGGCTGCAGCAGCCTGGTACATCTGAAGGTACCTGGAGAGCAAGGGGTCACATTGTCCCCACTGATCCCCATACAGAACCCCACTCCTGTATCCACCCAGACCCATAGGCAGGTAGAAAGTTCCTCCATTTTTTTCCTTCTTTTTCTTTACTGTCCCCCATTCTTTTGTAAATTTGTGCCCCTTCCTCACTCCACAGACTGTGACTTTGGCTGCAGTAGCCAGCAGCAGCCTGGTTCATCTGAATGCACCTGGTGAGCAAGGGGGTCATAATGCTCCCTATGATGCCCATCCAGACTCCCAGGCCAGGATACACCCAGACACCTAGGCAGGTAGATAGTTCCTCCATTTTTTTCTTCTTCTTTACTGTCCCCAATTTTTTGTAAATTTCTGTGCCTTCCTCTCTCCACAGACTGCGCCTTTGGGTGCAGTAGCCAGCAGCAGCCTGGTACATCTGAAGGCACCTGACAAGCAAGGGGTCACACTGCCCCCACTGATTCCCATCCAGACCCCCAGTCCAGAATCCACCCAGACCCCAAGGGAGGTAAAAGGTTCCTACATATATTTTTTTCTTCTTTACTGTCCCCCATTCTTTTGTAAATTTCTGCCCCTTCCTCTCTCCACAGCCTGCTCCTCTGGCTGCAGCAGCCTGGTACATCTGAAGGCACCTGGCGAGCAAGGGGTCACAATGCTCCCTATGATACCCATCCAGACTCCCAGGCCAGGATCCACCCAGACCCCTAGGCAGGTAGAAATTCCTCCATTTTTTTTCTTCTTCTTTACTGTCCCCCATTCTTTTCTAAATTTCTGCCCTTTCCTCTCACCACAGACTTTTTCTTCAGTTGCAGTAGCCAGCAGCAGCCTTGTACATCTGAAGGCACCTAGGGAGCAAGTGGTCACACTGCCCCCACTAATTCCCATCCAGACGCCCATGATCCACCGAGACTCCTAGGCAGGTAGAAAGTTCCTCCATTTTTTTCTTCTTCTTTACTGTCCCCCATTCTTTTGTAAATTTCTTCCCCTTCTTCTCTCCACAGACTGAGCCTTTGGCTGCAGTAGCCAGCACCAGCTTGTTACTTCAGAAGGCACCTGGCGAACAAAGGGTCACAGTGTCCCCACTGATTCCCATCTAGAACCCCAGTACAGAATCCACCCAGACCCGAAGGCAGGTAAAAAGTTCCTCCATTTTTTTTTCTGCTCCTTTACTGTCCCCCATTGTTTTGTAAATTTCTGCCCCTTCTCTCTCCACAGACTGAGCCTTTTTCTGTAGCAGCCTGGTACATCCGAAGGCACCTGTATAGCATGGGGTGACACTGCCCCTACTGATTCTCATCTAGACCCCCAGTCCTGGATCCACATCAGACCCCTAGGAAGGTGGAAAGTTCCTCAATTTTTTTCTTCTTTACTCTCCCCCATTCTTTTGTAAATATCTTCCCCTTCCTCTCTCCAGTGACTGTACCTTTGGCTGCACAAGCTTGGTACATCCGAATGCACCTGGCGAGCAAGGGGAAACACTGCCACCACTGATTCCAAAGGAGATCCCCTGTCCATGATCCACCCAGACCTCTAGGCAGGTAGAAAGTTGCATCAGTTTTTTTCTTCTTTCCTGTCCCCTATTCTTTTGTAAATTTCTGCCCCTTCCTCTCTCCACAGACTGTGCCTTTGGCTGCCACAGCCTGGTACATCTGAATGCATGTTTCGAGCAAGGGGGCACACTTTCTCCACTGATTCCAATACAGATCCCCAGTCCAGGATCCCCCCAGACCAATAGGCAGGTAGAAAGTTCCTTTTTTTTTTTCATTAGTGTCCCCCCATTCTTTTGTAAATTCCACCACAGACAGATGTGTCTCTCCACAGACAGTGTCTTTGGCTGCAGCAGCCTGGTACATCTGAAGGCGCCAGGCGAGCAAGTGGACACACTTTTCCCCCTGATATCAATCTAGACCCCCAATTGAGAATCCACCCAGACCCCTAGACAGGTCGAATGTTTCACATTTTTTTTTCTTCTTCTTTACTGTCCCCCATTCTTTTGTAAATTTCTACCCCCTTCCTCTCTTCACAGACTTACCTTTGGCTGCAGCAGCCTCTTACACCTGTAGGCATCAGGTGAGCAAGGGGGCACACTGTCTCCACTGATTCCCGTCCTGACACCCAGTCCAGGATCCAACCTGACCCCTAGGCAGGTAGAAAGTTCCTCCATTTTTTTCTTCTTCATTCCCGTCCCCCACTATTTTTAAATTTCTGCCCCATGCTCTCTCCACACAGTGCGACTTTGGCTGCAGCAGCCTCGTACATCTGTAGGCACCGAGCGAGCAAGGGGGCACACTGCCCCTACAGATTCCCATCCATACCCCCAGTCCAGGATACACACAAAAACCTAGGGAGGTAGAAATTTCCTTCATTTTTTTATCTTCTTTTTTACTGTCCTTCATTCTTTTGTAAATTTCTGCCCCTTCCTCTCTCCACAAAGTGCGCCTTTGGCTGCAGCAGCCTGGTACATCTTAAGGCACTTGGTTAGCAAGGGGCACACAGCCCCCACTGATTGCTATCCATACCCCCAGTCCAGGATCCACCCTGACACCTAGTCAGGTTGAAAGATCCTCCATATTTTTTCTTCCTCTTTACTGTGCCCCATTCTTCTGTAAATTTCTGTCCCTTCTTCTCTCCACAGACTACGCCTTTGGATTCAGCAGCCTGGTACATCTGTAGGCACCTGGTAAGCAAGGAGGCACAGTAGCCCCATGGACTGCCCACCAAATCCTCCAGTCCAGGATCCACCCAGACCCCTAGGCATGTAGAAAGTTCCTGCATGTTTTTTTTATTTTCTCTTTTTTACTGTCCCTCATTCTTTTGTAAATTTTTTCCTCTCCATCTCTCCACAGACTGTGCCTTTGGCTATCACAGCCTGGAACATCGGAAGGTACCTGTTAAGCAAGAGGGTACACTGCACCCACTGATTTCCATCCAGAACTCGAGTCGAGAATACACCCTGACTCCTTGGCAGGTTGAAAGATCCTTCATTTTTTATCTCTTCTTTACTGTCCCCCTTTTTTTTTTTTTGTAAATTCTTTCTTTTCTCTCTCTCCACTTACTGTGCCTTTGGTTGCAGCAGCTTGGTATATATCTGAAGGCTCCTGGTGAGACAGGGAGCACACTGCCCCCACTGATTCCCATCCAGAACCCCCAGTCCAGGATCCACCCAGGCCCCTACGCAGGTAGAAAATTCCCCCATTTTTTATCTTCTTCATTACTGTCCCACATTCTTTTGTAAATTTGTGCCCCTTCCTCTCTCCGCAGACTGTGACTTTGGCTGCAGTAGCCAGCAGCAGCCTGGTTCATCTGAAGGCACTTGGCGAGCAAGGGGTCACAATGATCCCTATGATGCCCCTCCAGAATCCCAGGCCAGGATCCACCCAGACCCCTAGGCAGGTAGAAATTCCTTCATTTATTTTTCTTCTTTTTTACTGTCCCCCATTCTTTTGTAAATTTCTGTCCCTTCCTCTCTCCACAGATTGCATCTTTGGCTGCAGTAGCCAGCAGCAGACTAGTACATCTGAAGGCACCTGGCGAGCAAGGGGTCACATAGCACCCACTGATTCCCATCCAGACCCCCAATCCAGGATCAACCCAGACCCCTAGGCAGGTAGAAAGTTCCTCCATTTTTTTTTTCCTCTTCTTTACTGTCCCCATTGTTTTGTAAAATTCTGCCCCTTCCTCTCTCCACAGACTGCTCCTTTGTCTACAGCAGCCTGGTACATCTGAAGGCACTTGGCGAGCAAGGGGGCACACTGCCCCCACTGATTCCCACACAACCCCCAGTCCAGGATCCACCCAGACCAATAGCAAGGTAGAAAGTTCCTCTTATTTTTTTTTTCTTCTTCTTTACTGTCCACCATTCTTTTGTAAATTCTGTCCCTTCCTCTCTCCATAGACAGCGCCTTTGACTGCAGCAGCCTGGTACATCTGAAGAGAACAGGCCAGCAAGTGGACAAACTGCCCCCACTGATATTCATCTAGACCCCCAATTCAGGATCTACCCGGATATCTAGGCAGGTAGAATGTTCCACCATTTTTTTTCCTTCTCCTTCACTGTCCCCCATTCTTTTGTAAATTTCTGCCCTTTCCTCTCTCCATAGAATGCACCTTTGGCAGCAACAGCCTGGTACATTTGAAGGCACCTGATGTTCAAGGGAACACACTGTCCCCACTGATTACCATCAAGACACCCCAGTCCAGGATCCACCCGGACCCCTAGGCAGGTAGAAAGTTCTCATATTTATTTCTCTTCTTTACTGCCCCCTATTCTTTGTAAATTCTTTCCTCTCCATCTCTCCACAGAATGTGCCTTTGGCTGCAGCAGCTTGGTATATCTGAAGGCACCTGGTGAGCATGGGTCACACTACCCCCACTGATTCCCATCCAGACCCGCCAGTCCAGAATCCACCCAGACCCCTAGGCAGGTAGAAAGTTCCTCCATTTTTTTTTCTTCTTCTTTACTGTCCCCCCTTCTTTTGTAAATTTCTGCCCCTTCCTCTCTCCACAGACTGCGCCATTGGCTGCAACAGCCAGGTACATCTGAAGGCACCTGGCAAACAAGTGCGCACACTGCCCCCACTGATATCCATCCAGACCCCCAGTTCAGGATCCACCCAGACCCCTAGACAGGTAGAATGTTATTTCATTTTTATTCTTCTTCTTTACTCTCCCCCTTTCTTTTGTAAATTTCTGCCCCTTCCTCTCTCCACAGACTGCACCTTTGGCTGCAGCAGACTGGTACATCTGAAGGCACCTGGTGAGCAAGGGGTCACACTGCCCTAACAGATTCCCATCGAGACCCCCAGTACAGGATCCACACATAAACCTAGGCAGGTAGAAAGTTCCTTCATTTAATTTACTTTTTTACTGTCCCTCATTCTTTTGTAAATTTCTGCCCCTTCCTCACTCCACAGACTGCACCTTTAGGTGCAGCACCCTGGTACATCTTAAGGCACTTGGCGATCAAGTGGGCACACTTCTCCCGCTGATTCCCATCCTGACCCCTAGTCCAGGATCTACCAGACTCCTAGACATGTAGAAAGTTCCTCTGTTTTATTTCTTCTTTACTGTCCCCCATTCTTATGTAAATTTCTGCCCCTTCCTCTCTCCATAGACTATGCCTTTGGCTGCAGCAGCCTGGCATATCTTAAGCCACTTGGTGAGTAAGGGGTCACACTGCCCTCACTGATTCCTATCCAGACCCCCACTCCATGATCCACCCTGACACCTAGGCAGGTAGAAACATCCTCCAATTTTTTTGTGTGTTCTTCTTTACTGTTCCCCATCCTTTTGTAAATTTCTGCCCCTTATTCTACCCACAGACTGTCTTTGGCAGCAGCAGCCTAGTACATCTCAAGGCACCTGGTGAGCAAGGGCTCACACTACCCCCACTGATTCCCATCCAGAAGCCCTGTCCAAGAGTCACTCAGACCCCTATGCAGGTAGAAAGTACCTCCAGTTTTTTTTTCTTCTTAATTGTCCCTCATTCTTTTGTAAATTCTTTCTATTCCAACTCTCCATAGAATGTGCCTTTGGCTGCAGCAGCCTGGTACATCTGAAGGCACCTTGTGAACAGGAGGGCACAGTGCCCCCACTGATTCTCATCTAGACCTCCAGTCCAGGATCCACACAGACCCCTACGCAGGTAAAAATTTCTCCATTTTTTTGTCCTCCTTCTTTACTGTGCCCCATTATTTTGTAAATTGCTGCCCCTTCTCTCTCCACTGACTGGGCCTTTGACTGCAGTAGCCATCAGCAGCCTGGTACATCTGAAGGCTGCTGGCAAGCAAAGGGGCACACTGCCCCTATGGATTCCCAACTTGATACCCCAGTCCAGGATCCACCCAGACCCCAAGTTCTTCCATTTTTTTTCCTCTTTACTCTCCCCCATTCTTTTGTAAATTTCTGCCCCTTCCTCTCTCCACAGACTGTGCCTTTGGCTGCAGCAGACTGGTACATCTGAAGGCACTTGGCGATCAAGTGGGCACAATTCCCCCACTGATTCCTATCCATACCCCCAGACCAGGATCTACCCAGACTCCTAATCAGGTAGAAAGTTTCTCTGTTTTTTTTTTCTTCTTCTTTACTGTTCCCCATTCTTTTGTAAATTTCTGCCCCTTCCTCTTTCCATAGACTATGCCTTTGGCTGTAGCAGCCTGGCACATATTAAGGCACCTGGTGAGCAAGGGGGCACACTGCCCTCACTGAATCCCTTGCAGACCCCCAGTCTAGGATCCAACCTGACATCTAGGCAGGTAGAAAGATCCTCCAATTTTTTTTCTTCTTAGTTACTGTCCCTCATTCTGTTGTAAATTTCTGCCCCTTCCTCTCTCCACAGACTGCGCCTTTGGCTGCAGCAGCCTGGTACATCTGAA